GGCCTATTTGACCCCAAAAGGTGGTTTTGAAGCAAGAGAGAGCAAGATCTGAGCTGGGAAGGCCCTGGGCTCCTACTCTGTGGCCTTGGAGACTGCATTTGGCTCCTGTCTCAGCCTGGGCTGAACCAGGGCTATTTTTACAAAGTCCAGTCTCTGTCTGCCCTGCTATTTGGAGAAGACTCGTTGTCTTCCACATCCTGTAGGCAGGAAGGATGCTCAGGCAGGCATGGGCAGGGTGGGGTCAGGCTCTGCCATCCAAGGCCAGCCTAGGCCAACCAAGCCGATGTGTAGGACTCAGGACAGATGGCCCTATCAGCACCTAAAAGCCCGCCATGCTCAGACTTCCTGCAGAGGAAGGGGAATGACCTCCTCCTTTATACCACCCTCAGACCTCAGGGCAAATGAGGCTCTTGGGACTCCCTTTGAACAAGAGGGCCCTAGGGGACAGCCACAGGGTCTGCTTAGTTGTACTTTCAGAATCCATCTGATAAAGCAGGAAGATGTTGCCTGGCTGGTCAAAGAGAAAGGCCAGAAAAAGACTCAACCCTACAGCAGAGGCACTGTCTGGTTTCAGTCTAAGCTGGCTCTTCCTCTGTCCCCACTCTCCCACTATCCCCCCACCCCCCTCCTGGCACTTCCTCAAGACCCCACAAACCCCAGCTCTGAGTATCCTCCAGCCTCCTTTGTCATCTATTCCCACACTCGGCCCTAAAGTGAACATCCTGATGTGTACATCTTTTTTTCTTTTTTTTGAGTTGGAGTCTCACTGTCGCCCAGACTGGAGTGCAGTGGCCTTACAGGGACCTTCCCTGCTCCAAAACCTTCTCTAGTTCCCCATTGCCTCAAGACAAAATCCAAATGCCATATCCTGACCTTCAAACCTTTCAGTCAGACCCTGCTCCCTGTCCAGCCTGCTCTCCCTCCATTCCCCCCACACTCCAGCCCATGGCTGATGAATCGCAGGTCACTCAAGCTAGGCAATGTCACAAACAACCTTCACTTCCACTCGCCCTTTATGCTGTGCTGCATTTATGCTGATTTCTACAGATTCATCTTCTAATTCACTTATTTTCTCTTCAGCTGGGTCTAGTCTACTCATTAACTCATTAGCTCATCTACTTATTACATGTTTTAATACTTTTCACTTCTAGACTTTTTGAATATTCATCATTTAAACATTTTCCCTGTTCTTTTTTCATCATGTGCTATTCTTGTTTTATAAATCCTACCCTTTCCTTTAGAGTTATGAAAATTAAGCATACCTAATTTTAAAATCCCTTTGAGTCTATTCACTGCAGTTCTTCAGTCTGTTTTACCATTTTTGGAGCCAGCTGACACCCTTTCACAAAGATGGTTTCCTGTATGTTCTATTAATTTTGAATTTGAGTATGTGTGTGTCCCATGCAGGCTCTGGGTCCTGAAGTCTCTCCTGAGGAGCAGTTTGGGATTTGCTTCTGCTGGGGTTGCCGGAAACATAAGGCCTACATGGGGAAGGGAGTGGAAGCCCCAGGCCTGTATAGAACAGGGACTGCACCTAGGCTCCCTGCATAAAGCCAGAGTCAGGAAGGAAACACCCACCCATGAAAGGGAACACCGCCAGAAAAACCACCCACCAGTCTGAAGGCACAGCCTGGAATTAGGGAGCTCCAGTGGAAATGGAATCACCCATGTGACTGGAACCCAAGCCTGCACTGCCCAATACTCAAAGTGAAGAACTCCATGCCTGGAACCTAGGCCAGTCTGACGATACTTTGATGAGTATTTGGAAGTCTGTTGTATTATTCTATTTTTTTTTTAATTTTATGTGTTTAAAATTTCTCATGATAAAAATGTTTATGCTAAAAATACCATAACAAGCTCCTAAGACATTTATCTGGTCGCTAAACACTCTGCATCGCCTGGCTTCAGTTCCAGCTCCCACTCCAATTTCTGAGTTCAGCTCTTTGCTTCTGGCACATGCGAATTTCCCTGCTGGTTTTAGCTTTCAAGCTCAGCTTTGTAATTTAAACATGTTTTCTTGGCATGTTTTATCTAGCTTGGAGAGTGGAGAAGGATTTCATACATCTACTCAATCTGACACACTGACTAGAAATCCTTTCCCCTAAACAAACTCTAACTCATCCTTCAAAACCCCATTCAAGTGTCCTTTTTTCATCTTCTCCAACTACCACCTGCCAGAGTTAGATACACACTCTCAGTCATGCACCCAGGCTCCCACAGTCCCCCTGTGCCTGGGTAGTGACTGGATGATACATTTTCTGCTCCCATAGACAGAGGAAATCTACCTGAAGGCAGGAAATAAGTCTGGACAGAACCCAGCACAGAGCCTCCCAAGCAGTAGGTTTGGCAGCATTTGCCCCCTTAGGTGTAGGCCATGGGGGCTCCTGATTTCCCAAAACAGCAAGACCCAAGGACTGTAATTCTGCTGCGGGCTTTCGCAGAAACTGAGTAATGGCTCCTACAGGCAACTCAGGGGCCAGGTATGGCCAGCAGCAAACTGCAAGGGGGCTGCTAAAAGTAGGCTCTTCCCCAGCATTTCTCTTCCCAAGAGGAAACAGCAGGGGCAGCCCCAGGCCTCATCCTCAGTCACCTGCCACCTGTCTCCTGGACCAGCAGCCCTTGGTACCCACAAATAAGCAGGCAGCCTAGCTCTCAGGCTGGGTCTTTGATCTGGGCAAGCACCAACACCTGGCTGGCGCCCTCCACCTGGCTCCGACCTTATCGGGCTTGAGGAAGACACAGGTGCCTGGGGCACAGGCCAATTAGGTGACTTGCCTAGTTGCCCACTGAGTCACATCCTGGTCTAGTTCGACTGGCTTCTTGGCTCAGATGCCTGAAGGGGTGAGGACACCCTGGGGAGCCATCCCAGCTGTGCCAGGAGCAGGTGGCAGGGCCATGGGGTAAGAACTAGAGGGTTTCTGAGAACACTGGGAATTCTCACTATGGCCCAGAGGTACCCACCCTGGGGACACTGTGATGCCAGACATTTGGAGTCCCCAGCCAGAGCGCAGCACAGGCAGAAGCCTGGGCCCCATTTCAGGCTGGCTAGTCTCCACCACAGGCCTTAAGCAAGCCACATTCCTCTCTTGACCAATGTCTCTGCATCTGACAAAGGGAGCCTGTAGGACTACCAGGAGACTCAAAGGAGATGATGCTTGGATGTGACTTGTCCCCTTCCTTCAGGTCACCAAGATAAGCAGGGACTGTAAGACTTCTCTCTCATGTGCCAAGAAGCCAGCCTGGGACATCATCGCAGAAGGAACCAGGGCACTCTGACCCTCACACCAGCTTTAGGGAAGATACCCTTCCTCCTCAACCCTGCTTCCAGCTGTGCTAGCCCTGAACACACTCAGTAGGGGCTAAATGGAAGAAGCTCAGGGTAGAGCCTCACCCTAGATCAATCAGTAAGGCCAGGACTGGAAGGGGGTGAGGCTCAGACCAGGTCCCCAGACTGAGGGGCCACACAGGGTAGGGGCTAGGTAACCAGGCTCTCTCCCGCCCTTTCCTCCCACGCTTGAACTCAATCTTCCTGACTTAAATACTGGTCACAGCACTGGCAGAACCCAGAGGACTCGAGGGACCTGTCTCAGGCTGCAGGACCAGCTGACTTGTTCTGGCCCACCCAGGGAGGCCCAGGAAGAGGCAAGGGAGGGGTTGGGCTCATGGCCTGGGCAGAGGTGATATCTGCCAGGGCAGGGACCTGGCCACTCTTAGGGGATACTCTTAGCCTCCCCATCCTAGCACAGTCAAGGCTTGCTTGAGGTCCTAGAGACATCACACCCTCTGTCTGAGCCCCCAAGTCCCCATCTGGGATAAAGGATAGCTGGTGGGGGCAGTGGGGTGGGGGGGCCGAGTGGCTGTGGCATTCTGTGAGCTCTGGGAGGCATTGTGCCTGATGGAATGCCACCTAGACAGGTCAAGCAGGTTCCTGGACAGCCAGCTCACGCCAGCCCCTCCCTCCCAGGAGGGCCCCAAGCAGGGGAAGGGGTTCACGGACTGGAATGCAGACCACGGACTTTCTCCCACACATCTGACTGGGCCTCACAGCCAGACAGACTCCAGGGTCAAAGGCCTAGGGACAAGCAGGGGCCAGGCTAGGGCCACAGAGCAAGGCCAGAGAGAGTCAGGACCAGGGCTTCTGCCCCTCAGCCCTGGGTCTGGATCTCTGCCCAGGCCTGAGGTGGCCTGCTGAGGGCACAGCCAATATAGCTCCTCTAGTGGGAAGGCCAGGGAGCCAGAAGCTTGGCTCCCACCAGGCTATGTGGCAGTGGGGCGGGGATAAGGGAGACATGGTCCACTGAAGGAGGGGTTGACAGGCAGGAATGTGTGCTGATGGCCTCCTACACTACCCTAGCCCAGCTTACAATGGCCCAAGACTCGGGCCCTGACTCTGGCAGGCCACAAGAAGGCTGGACCCCAAGGAGAAGAGGGCAGGGAGGCGCAGGCCTACAGCCAATCCAGGACCCAGGTCCTCGGGCTCCTTCCCTGGGATTGGGAACCGCTCTGAGGCTGACCAGTGTTTTCTGCCTTGTCATCTAAGAGATGATTCCCAAAGTTGATCATAACGGAAGGATTCAGGCTCAGGGGGATGGTAAGAGATGGATACAGGGTCATCGTGGCTTTGTTGATACTGCCCAATCAGCTGACTTAAAGAGTCCCAGCACTAGCCTCAGGATGGAACCTGGACCGCCTGGTCCTGATGAGGTGCCAGGATCCAAAGGAAGGGTCCCCTCCACGGGCTTCACCCTCGGCCTGCACTCTCGATTCTCTCCCCGCAGCCCCTTGGGGCAAGTATTATTCATTTTGTTTTATAAGAAGGGAAGCACAGGCTCAGTGAAGTGGTGCCTTGGGCGGGTGATCATCATAGGATTTGGGTGCAAACCTTCTCTCTCTTCAGGAGTCAGGACTGGGGAAGAGAGGCCGAGTGGAGAATGTCAGGCAATAGGAAGAGAACCCGAGGCCAAAACCCGGGCAGGGGCGAGGTGAGAGGTGGGCCTCACCTGACTGCAGCAGGCCGGCACCGCGGTCCTTGACCCCGAAGTGCTGCTGGATGTCCAGAAGGACGCCTGGAGGGAAGACAGAGGGTGCTCACTGGCCATGTCTGACCCTGGTGTCCCCATGGCCTACCCCACCCAGCAATCCCCAGGCCCAGTACAGCCTTCTTTCTTTTTTTTTTTTTTTGAGTTGGAGTCACTCTGTCGCCCAGGCTGGAATGCAGCGACACACTCACAGCCAACACAGCCTCAACCTGCTGGGCTCAGGGGATCCTTCCGCCTCAGCCTTCCAAGTAGCTGGAACTACAGGCGTGCACCACCCTGCTCAGCTAATTTTTTGGTTTACTGTAGAGACGAGGTCTCGCCAAGTTGCCCAGGCTGGTCTTGAACCCCTGGACTCAGGCAATCCTCTCGCCTCCACCTTCCAAAGTGCTGGGATTACAGGCGTGAGCCACTGCGCCTGGCCCAGCCTTCTTTATTGCAGGGCCCAGTCTGGCCCCATATACAGAAATCCCACCCTGCTGTGACCTCCACCCTGACCGTTTGGCCAGGGTTCCCTCCTGCTCCCACCAGGTCTCCCATGCTCAGCCTGGGGATAGGATGCCACCCCTCCTTGGCCACCACAGGGGCCTGAGGGGCAGAGATAGGCGAGGCTTCTCTGTGGTCCCTCAGCCCGGTAAGCAGCCACACACCTCCCATCTGCCAGCCTAGGCCTCTTGCCCACCTGCAGCAGTCCAGGTCTGGATCAGTGTGGCGACCTGAGCAGCAGACTTGGGTCCTGCTCCCAGGGGGACCACAGAGCCCACAGTCCAGAGAGCAGTGGGCAGCCCTGGAAGCTGTGGGAGCCCTCTGACCAGGGAAGGCCAGGGGCGGCTCATGGCAACACTCACACCAGCTCCCCTGCACATGTACACAAGTACACGCATGTCACACACCCACGCTCACCCCAGCTGTCCTCAGGGTTTGAACCAGGATCCCAGAATTTCAAACGCGGGAGCCAGGATGCAAAGGAAAGTAGGCACGGCTCCAGGCCTGCTTTCCTGAAGGAAGGGGCTTTCTTGAGGCTGCATCTGCTCTCCCATCAGGGCTTTGCATGTCAAGGCCGGGGGGGGGGCAACTGGAACCCCTAGAAACCACCCATGCTGCCAACAAAAAGACAGAGCCATGGCTGCATGGAAGTCGCAGAATCACAAACCCTACCCACCTCTCACAGCACTTAACCAGGGCCCCTGAATAAGCACAACCCCAGCCTCACAGGCCCCAGGGGCCCCCACCTCAACTTATCTCTAAGGACACCAGGGCCCAAGCCACAGGCCAGAGCCCTCCTGACCACAGCACATCTGCACTGAGAAGGAATAGGGAAAGGGGGAGGGATAGACAGCCCTGCTCCCCATGCAGGGGACAGGGGCGTTTAGGGCACTCCCAGAGTTCTTCATTATGACGGCAATGATGGCAGCATTAACAATAATGACAGTTCACATTAGTGAGCATTAAATGTGTGATTAAGCCCCTACAGTCCTGGAAGACTGGTACTATTATCCTACTTGACAGATGAGGAAACTGAAGCATAAGAGGCTAAGCCATGGGCTCAAAGTCACACATCAGGAAAGCGAGGCAAGAGGAATCTCCAGGCACAATATAAGGCCAGCTGGGGGAGGCAAGAAGGATAGGGAGGACGGAAGGTCACTGTCCCTCCCAAGACCCAGGCTGGGATTCGGAGTGATTTCCAAGGAGGCACAGTGGGGCTGGCTGAAGTCCTAGCAGCCAGACAACCCACAGGAGCTGGCCTCTGTCTTGTTAATGCCCTGAGTGGATTTACCATAATTACCCTTAATGAAGAGGCTGTGTAAGGCCCAGTTAATGACTTAATAGCCAAGGCAGGCTGTGGTTTTGTCTCGAAGGCGGAAGCCAGGGGCTGGTCCTGGGCCCGTGGAGGGCAGGGCCACCAAGTGGGATCTTGAGGTGCCCCGACCCAGCCTCACTGATGAACCTCACTGTCTCATCAGGGCCTGCAGGAGGCACAGTTGGGCCCGATTTGGGGGAGCCACCCACACTCACCTCCCAGCCCCACAGCCCACTCCCTCTCCTAAGCCAGGGCCTCTGTTCCCCTCCTGACATGAGGGTCTAATCACATCCCTCTGTCACAGAGTCAGCGTCACCTGTGGCTCCCCAGCCAGGCCCTTCACCAGACCACAGGCTGTGAGTTGG